AAGGACCCAAGTACATTCAACATTAAAACACTCATTCTTCAGGTGTTGTTCATGCGAATATGTATTTTTCTTGGACTGTTGGACATGAACTATAATGGTTTTTTTTTTTTTACTGACCTAGGTTTTCGCCCTTTGCATTAGTTGGCCGCTACTTGCAGTTTTGTCCTCACCAAGTTAACTAATTATGCTTGATTGGCATCCATTGTCAAATGATGCCTTCAGTACTTTTAACAGGATTAGTTGCAGACTGAAGTACAAACCACAGTAACTAGCATGCAAGTCTTGGAAAGTGGTCTTTAAGCTCAGCTAAACAATTTATTACTCATGTTTCACTTTAACGTTCAAAACAACCATTGAAACATTTGAGTGAGTTTCAATGCTAAAAAACATTCCGTATCTAACATAAATAATAGAGGAGGCCAAAGGGAACTCATTCATCTCTCTCTCTCTCTGTCTGGCCGGCTTTTTCCTTTTCCTTTCACATGCAAAGAAATGAATGCATGATCCAAGCAACTATAATTTTTATGAGCTCTGAATACTGCTATAACCAGAGTGAGTAATAGAATAGAATGGCTGTCGATTTGATAGAGCAACATCCAACTAATTAGGTGTGACTTTTAAATTCAGGCAGCAAGTGACAATGATACAAATAGAGTAAAAACTGAAAAATGAAGTGATGAATGATTAATCTATACATCACCTGACTTGCATACATACATGTGCATGATAACAAATATTCATGCAACCTCAAACTCCAAGATTAATGCTGATGACTATTACTTATGTGTACTGCCAACCTCAAACGCCAACAACAAATCTTTAACCCCAACTTTGTCAGAGCGCTTAAAATTTCTGCTAGATCATCTGGTAATTGGGATAGATGTGTGAATATGCTAGTAGGGATTTTAAAATTTTCTCCATATTCCCAGTAAAGTACCACTAACAGAGAGCAAGGAAAACAGGCTGCAAGTTCATTTTAATTGCTACCAAAAAAGCCTCCTTCATTGGCTGCCTTACCTAATGATAATTTTCCTAGCGATCAAGAATTTTCAGAGATTAATTAACAATAGCCATCTCTGCATGAAACCAAAAACATAGCTGTCTAAGCTCACGAGAGGCACATGTCCCACACCAATGATTTTTTGACATCATTTGAAGTAGTAGCAGACATTTGCTCCAGTTATAGGTAGGGAGACAACGATTTAATAGGATAGGGGTACAAAATTGCATCAAAATTTCATTTCATGCTTTAAAATAAAGCAAGAAGTTGCAAAGCATGTCAATCAAATGTTTCGTTTATCCATGGATAAAGCTAAGCTTAGCATATGGGCTTGCGTGTCTCTCATGAAGACAGACAAACGCAAAAATATCAAGATGTATAAAGAAAGAAAGCACAACTCACTTCATCCTTCCTTAACATTTCCCTCCGTAAGAGGAAAATGTGAATACAGCTACTGTCTACTGCAGTTTGCATCAGGATCATGCGTCTAACCGGTAACTCAAATTCTTGTATTGTTCTCGCGCATAATACTTCCGTACCATTATAGTGGGCAACTCAACAGACGTACGTATTGCTAAGTTCAGGTTGAAAGTAAAACAGTATGAGGGACCCTTTGCACAGTATACACTGCTAATGTTATCACTTAAAAAAGTCATGACCAAAAGTGTATCCATATGATAAATGATGGTTGCCGACTTCCTTCTGAGGAGATTTTTAGGTAGACTTGATTTATGAGTTTACTTGTTATTTGTAAGAGATGGAGATGGAGATGGGGAATGCTATGCTCTGCCATTTTTTGTTTCTTTTAGAACAAAGATAAGCTAGATATCTCTGAGGCAACCGAGAGTTCAATTATTTAATGGTTTTTAGTGTCTTAATTATCATTGTTGGCACCAAGGTGATCTTCCTTCATTCTCCTAATTAGGCTAGGTGTCATTCAGCAACAAAGTTACCAGGCATACAGATATGTATGAACAGTTCTGATATTTGAATGGCAAGAATATAATAATTATCATAAGTTCAATTAGGAAAGAGTTTCTCTTACAAGTTTTGGTAATTTTAGTCATTGATTTTGATTATGCTGTATCTCATGATACAACTGATTTTGGCTAAGATTGTATCTAAAGCGATTATAGATTTAATTTGGTGCTAGTTTTGATCTCTCGATATAAGATAGCTTAGGTTATCGATGAGATAGTTTTGATCTTCAGGTTTTATGAATTTGAATAACAACAAAACTGGATATGACGTGACACTCAAAATATTTACATCTCGAAGTGCCATTTGCTTGCTTTGATAGCAACCGGGGAGTTAAAGTAAAAACAGCTGAAATCTACATATTCTTGGTTCCAGCAATTGATTCAGCACACAATATAAATATATATATATATATATATATATATATATATATATATATATCTTCTCTCCCAATTTAACAAAATACTCAACTGCCAGAAAAAAAAAAAGAGGACAAAATTCTTTAAAAAAAAAAATTGGAAGAAAAAAAAATGCAATCTTCTGGTATTGCACTAGGGATGGTAACTGAATCCATCCTTGGAATGAAAACAATGGTGGCACATTATGGACATCATGCACGTATGTTAGTTAGTTGAATTGCCAAAACAAGAAGACCTAACTGTCCTAGCCTTGTGGATTGATTGGTGAGCTATATATATAAAATGAAAGTGATAATGCACATGAACACCAGACAAGAAATCAAATAATTTCATGCATGGCCACGGGGCTCGTGTCCTATGTCTTGACTGCATGCAAACTTAGGAACCAAAATTCTTATCCTCGTGCTTTTCTGTCTAGTACTTCAGGGTTATGTACTTCAGGGTTGCTTTTGCTTTTTCCCATTTGTTCGAATCACTGAAGTACATGCAACTAGTTACTCCACCAAGCGGGGCAACAACGTAACATATTTCTTCTTGACAACTCACCAAGCTCCATCGTAAGTGAAGTATGTTTTTCTATCGTGTACGTATTAATAGTTTTTGTATAAAATGTGAATCTTGAATACTACCATGAATTTGTCAAACAATTTCTCATTGTCATAAAAGGTAGTGGTCAGGCTGGGACGATTATTTGCAGTCAATCCCAAGCCTGCAAATAATCAATACTTGTTGCTTTTCTTGGGTGAAATTGAGATTTCCTTATTGTTGTACGTGGTTGTATAAAGTAACAACGAGGGTGAACTTTTAGGGCCAACTTTCTCCTGCAAACTCATCTCATCTGGGTAAAAAAATGTAATGAGAAGAATTACTAATTACTAGTCATTAAAGAGAGAGAATGCAGTCCCTAAATTTTGCACCCGGTGCATATGAGTCCGAGTTTCATATGTGGCATATAGCTCTAGCAATTTGAATACCAAACCTACAGCAAGGCATGGAAAATTATCATTTTACATTATTTTTGTGGAGACCACCATACTTTTGATTATAAAAATCTTAAAACTTAATGTGTATATACTTAATTGAATGCACACACATGTAATTGATTAAAGTTATAAAGAAAGTTTTACTAAAGAATAATAAGCAAGTCCATAATTAATTAATATACAACTCCAAATCGCGACGACTAATACTTTACTTGAAATCTACTAAATAATTTATAACCATACATACTACAGTATTTTTGGGACAATAATTTTCAGAAAATCTCCTCCGTCATTAATCGTACAACAATTCAGAAATGACGAAAGAATAGTGAAAAATGAACAAATTGAAACGGCGAAATAGGGAAATTTATTGATAAATGCACAGAAAGGTAATTTTGTCACTCAAAATATTTTGTAGTAGTAGGTTTTTGTATCATTTCATTAACCAAAAAAAAAAAAAAAAAAAGAGTACAAATGAAGTGTTTGGAGTCGTTTTTATCACTTGCCAATATTCTGACTTCCTTGCTTTAATGTTGTGACCTTCCCTTGCTGAATTTTGGGACAGGACAGCGTTTACATTCAATCATAGACCTAAAATGAATGTGACTGTGACGTTGACTAGAGATAAGCCCTTGTGCTAAATTTAACCGCAGGGCCGCCGAAAGAAGTAGAGCTTGGATCCTACCAAATAAACTTAACAGCCCAGTTTAGCAATGCATACCCATCATTTTACTCCGCCCGCCAGAAATTTTTTTTTTTTTGGGGGTGTTGGGTAGAATAGAACCACCTACCAACGGAGATAAGATGTGGGTTATTTCCGCCGTACAACAATTCAATAAGGTTTTGGACCCAACTCCCCATGGCGCCATGAAAAAAGTGGAAGTAAAATTTTAGTGCTATGAAATGATATCATAAAATAAAGTATAACATTTTTTTTGTGAAATTTTGTAATGCCCTGTGTCATCACACTAACAATAAGCTTAACATCTCAGCTATGAAAGTAATATAGTACAGTAATCAAGAAAGTAGGATATGAGCAAGGGAAGACTACTTTTTTGCAAGATGTTCATCAAGAAAGCAGGTAAATCACACAAGTGGTGGACTGGGACTATTTTTGGCTTCTATCCAAGATAACACCTCCTGCGCTGAAGAGCCAATAATACTGCAGGAAAAAGTGATATATGGCGATTTGTTGTTAGTTCACATAATCTTTCCCCAACCCGAACCCAAAGTTGGATTTGAGGGTACAAACTTTCCTGAAACTGGAAAAAGTGCACATGGTCCCTTGCAAGTTGGAACAGAAAAAGTGACAATTACAATTATTGTAGGACGATGAACATGGTTTGGTTTGAGCCCTACTCGAGTTATTGAAACATGCATAACTTTTAACATATCAAGTTTCAAATGATCGAAACAATCAGCTTCAGTTTTCTCTTTATCTTTCTCTTCTCTTTCTCTTCCATGCAGATGCGAGTCTTAAAACCTTACAAATTGATAGCATCTCGTTTTAAAGGGGAGAATTCTGATTCACAGATCCAACAACCTAACCTAAAAGCAAAATTATCACTATCATTATGAATATTCTAAGAAAAGGAACAGTGAATAAAATAATAACCCAAGTTGCACAAAAAGCCACGATTCCATTCACAAAGTTGATTAATTCAACAGTGAAATTCTGATTCACAGATCCATTCACAATTTCACAGCAAAACACAAGGATACGTATAAGCTAACTGAAACTTGGACAAATGATCAAGATATCCTATAGCTAAATGAACAAATCCCAATTCAGAGCCTCATAATTCAAGAGCAGTATCACAATTTCAACATAATACTAGAAACAAATACAACGTCAATGGATGATCCAATCATATGATGGATGAATCTTGGTTTCCCCGCATAATCAAGCAGCAGGCATTGAATTCCCAGCTGGAGTGGTCCAAACAATGTCCTTGAGTGCTGGTCTGAGCTCTTTGTTGCAGAATTGGTTGTACTCCAAAGTATCACCACTAGACTTCTTCACCTCAACCACCACAAATGAAGGTGCCACGGCGAAGATATCAGCAGCAATTCCTAGCTTGCCTTTTCTTCCGTTTTCCAACCCCTGCAATCTAACACAGGAATCGTTCCTCTTGAAGCTGAAATTCTTTGTTTTCGCTACCTCCTCAAGCTTAGAGATGACACTGCTGGCTGGCTTTGTCGTTGCAAATCTCAACTCTTCTTTCTCCTCCCTTTTCTTCTCCTCAAAAAGGGGCGACAAGTCAAATCCCTCCGATAAAGAGATGATGTGGAAAGCATTCAAAGTCTCAATCTCCTTCCCCTTGCTACAACACCTTCATCCTCCACCACCGCGAATTCTTGCTCCTCCTTACTTCTCAGAGTTTTAGGCTCCGATTTCTTAAACCAAGAAGAATCCATAATCTTGGAAATGGAAACCCTCGTACTTGGGTTGGGATCCAACATCTTGGTTATCAATTTCCGAGCTTCCGGTGACAACCAAGGCGGGCACTTGAAATCTCCGCGGTAAATTTTCCTATACATGGAAACAAGATTATCATCCTGGAAAGGCAAATATCCGGCCAACAGCACGAAGAGAATTACCCCACATGACCAGATATCCGCTCTAGCCCCATCATAACCCTTCTTGCCAATCACCTCCGGTGCGACGTAGGCCGGCGTTCCGCATGTGGTATGCAATAGTCCATCTCGCCGGAGATGAGCGGTGAAGGCGCTGAGCCCAAAATCTGTCACCTTCAAATTCCCATCCTCATCTAGGAGGAGATTCTCAGGCTTCAAGTCTCTATGATACACCCCGCGGCTGTGGCAGAAATCAATGGCCGACATCAACTGCTGGAAATAATTCCTAGCGACTTCTTCCCGGAGCCGGCCTTTGGCGATTTTAGCGAACAATTCTCCGCCGCGAATAAGCTCCATGGCAAAGTAAATTTGGTTTTACTAGCCAATACCTCATGCAAATCCACGATGTTGGGATGCTTCACCATCTTCATGACGGAGATTTCTCGTTTGATTTGCTCCATCATCCCTACCTTTATCACCTTCTCTTTCCCAACAACTTTCATGGCCACGCTCTTGCCCGTTTGCAGGTTCCGCGACATATACACCTTAGCAAAAGTCCCGTGGCCCAAAAGCCGCCCCAGCTCGTACTTTCCGCGAAGTACTCCGCATTTCTCCTCGGACCCCATTGTCATCGGTGCTCTGTAGAATGATTTTGCTGAAAAAGAAATGAAAATAGTACAAGAAAACTAAAGGGTTTGTTTAGGTTGACAGGCTGAAGAACTGCACTGTTTTGTTGGACTGGGAAAATATTTAAGCTGGCTGAGAAGGGGTGAAAGGATTCACCCGTCTTCGACGTGTTTCCGGTGGCAATTCCTGCCGCCGGTGGGTTGTTTTTGGGACCTTCCGCCTCCCAAATGGGGGTTAAGAAGCGAAGCAATTCTCATCTCTCTGCATTCGCAACTTGGGCAGTAGAGGAAGGCAAAGAAACAAGGGCTTTCACTAGGGCTTGCCAGCTAAACCAACGAGAGCTCTCTCGCCGCCTCTCTTCTCTAATTTCTGCCTAGTTCCTCAGGTGGGCAAATATATAGTCGATGTAGGGTAAAATGGACATTTTAGATTATGCACCGGTTCTTCAATCTGACGGCTGTGACCCGCTTGATGGAAGGATTACGTGTCAAGATCGTCGAAGGGTACTAACTGAAGCGTTTGGATTATGTGAATGATTGGGCGAGACACGTGTGCGGCACATGCGGTAAACGAGCAGAGGTAAGCGAGTAAAACACTTTGAACCAACTTCTTGTGGTTTTTGTCCTTCTTGTCACCATGTACATAAATATTTATATTAAGGCACAGAATAGGAAAAAAAATATTATGATATTAGTAATACATAGTATAATATGATGCAATTGTAGTCCAAGAAAAAGATGACAATTACAGAAGTGCCACGTCTACGATGTGGGTGGGATTGAGGTGGGGGCAACATCGTCAACGTCTAAAGTTTGTGCAATTTCGGGAATGTATGATGGCAAACGTTGAATGAGGAAGTCAATTATTGAGGTTTATTTATTCGTAGAAAAGGGCGTCAGCAGGAATAATGAGAGTTCCACGTAAGACAGCGCTGGACAGTGAGAATATCCAGGCTCAGAGAACTGTGGTGAAGTTAAAGCATACGTGGTTATAACCGCACTTACTGCTCACAAATGACGTTGTGTGGCCCCTGATATTGCAGAAGAGAGGACGGTGGGCTGGTGATTTTTGTGAATGCATAAGCGCCATTGGATTCATGGTATGATAGGCCGAAAAACGTCGGCTGTCAAATGAAGATTGAAGACATTGACACCATGAAATTTTTGTCTGCTAAGATATAATAAAATAATTGAACAGGTAAAGTGATCGAACGGAGGTTCAGACAGATTCAACTCTAGTTCGATGACACACATATCTGATAAAATGTCTCATGGACCAATTTAAGGTATCATTGGATAAAATGTTAAATATTTTTAAACACAAATAAATATTTAAAATTGTAATTCAAACAAATACATTCATCTCAATTGTACCTGTTAGGAAAACAATCTTAAATCCTCCATGAATCACAACCATATTCTCAAATTAAACAAAATGCATTGGAACTTCTAAAATTAAACTAAATCTAATAAAACTACAAAGAACACGACGATTTTTGAGTTTAAGGGTGAGAAATAGAGAGAGTTTATTACTCTTTTAGAAATTAAGGTAGAGAACAAAAGATTCGATAGATAAGTTTCATGTTTAAAACTTTAGGTTCATTTAATGTAAAAAGATGGAAAAAATGAAAAATTGTAGTTCACGGGTCAACCTGGATTGAGCGGTCCATCTGATTTTTTGCGATTTTGATCGTTTTTATGATAATTCAACACTAATAGTGAATTAGAGCCGGTTCACGATCTGATCAGTCAAATCGGGCAATTCGGTCCGATTTTCAAAACATCACTAAGATGATGAAAATTCCAAGTTGAAACAACTCATTTGGTGGATCTCCGTGGAAGGGAGCCCTCTCTCGAATTTTTTTTTTTAGTTTCTTTTATAGAAATAAAATCTCTTTTAAGGTTTTTTTTACTGAGAGATCTTAAAGAGAGATTCTTCCGGCATAAAATCTCCTAGTTTCGGTTTCCTTTCTCTTAAATTGTTCTTTAGAATCTTATTCGCTCCTAAAGTTTTTCCTTGTAAGAGTTTTGTTTCAGTTTTTATCTTTTCCTATGAAATTTGAGATTTTGTAGATCTAATTTCTCCATTTGTTATTGTCAAATCTAAACTTCTTTTTCGGGTTTGAACCAGTTTTTTAATCAGATCTAATTGTTAGAAGACATGCATAGATGCATGGGGTTACAATGACCTCATTTTTATTTGTATTGATTTTTCAGATTTGTTATATCTGTTGATTTCAAATTTGTATCTATATGAACTGTGTCATGTTCGATTTGATATATTTCTATAGTACAAATTCATTGAATGAAATGATTTTTTGTATGAAGAAAAAACTACAACAACAACAATTCATTGAAGTAAATAATTTGGACTTATTGTTTTAACTGAAAGCAAGATTCTCTTTTAGGAACCCTTAATAGTCCAATGAAACTCTGTGTGTGGATATATATATATATATTTATATATATTTTGAAGGGATTATATTAGTAATTATTAATATATTTAATTTAGATTAAATCTTTTATAAATTATCAGCATAAAGATATTTTTATTTTAACATGTTTGGATGTACACCACATATGAAAAATATGAATTGTAATATTTAAAAAAGATTAAATGGAAATTGTCTAAATCAACAGATAAATATTCACAGGCAAAAAAATGTTTATCTTTTACTTTAATCTAATATATTATTTAATACACATATTTACATTTATCGTCCCTTATTTAATAAAATTACCTAGGCCATTTAGACTTCTCATGGGGTAACCTTGACCTAGGTCACTTGGACTTCTCATGGGACAACCTTGATAAGTCAATGGTTTCTTAGACGTCGAGGGTTTGTTTGGATCGATAGTTATTTGGAAAAAGAAGTTTTGATATATTAAATTTTAATGTGAACTATGTGAAATAAAAATGTGATTGAAAAATATATTTTGTAAATACTAAAAAATAATTTTCAAATAATTTTATCATAATGAACTTGTCTCACATGCGTATTTATTGCATAAATATATATAAAAAAAAAAAGAAAAGGTGATAGAAAATATGGATCAATAATTAAAGCATACTTCTCTCTTAAATTTATGCATACTTTTAATGTTCCTAAATACTTACCACTGGGACGAATTAGAAAGGTCCATTTTGAAATGAAAAGACAAAATACAATTGTTAGATACGTAGATATTAATTACAGCCCTTAAGTATGAACGGTAATTCTAGGATTTATTCTATGGCTTCGACAAAACTGAAAGCAAAGCAAAATGGTTCAAAAAATGGGACAGAAATTAGGAATCGTCTCGAGAAGAGCCTTGAAGTTGATTAATAGAACTTAGTCCGCCTTAGGGTGATGCAGCTTGGGGACAAAATTTTTGACCATCTAGAATTTTTGCTATATATAGCGGTTTGTTTGTTTATTGACTCACTTTTTTTTTTTTTTTTTTTTGAAAGTGCATAAGTAAAACTCCAATTACAATAGTGATCAATATATGTATCCAATGAAGCATCTTTTTCGAATGATTGATTTTGGCAGTGCCTATGTAAATGAGCTCAGCAAGATCTCTATATATATATATAGATATTCCCGACCAGTTTCTGAACTTTCTGGTGCCGTTTCATCTAAAGCTTCAATAATTTATTAAGTTCGAACTAGGCTACAAGGTGGTTAACATTTCTTTTTACATTGAAGAAAATGTTTTCACACATAAAAATAAAAGAAACCTACAAGTCCTTCTTGTTATCTTTGCAGTGAACCCTTTTGTTCTTTTGCTCCAATGGTTTTTTATTTTGATAATGTCCTCAGCGCGACGTTTGCGGGAAGCTTCAGAGGGAGGTAGTGTTCATGTTTTCAACTGTGTATTCAACAACTAGACTGACCGGCCAAAGATTCCAAATTGGCTTCTGCTAAGTTGGAGCAGTTCCAAACAGGATTCAGGCCTAAATCAGATCACATCAACTCTTTCATCGTGGAGATTTTGAGCTTCATGCATATTTTTCTTGATGCATAATTGATTGGATCAGATTTACACCAAACCAAAAAAAAAGAACTTGCATGGTTTATCTCGATTTAGATTTATGCATTATGGATAGAACTGTCAATGGGATCGAGCCAACTTATTTACAAATCGAAGATGATAAGATCAATGAATCTGTCGCCAATTATTACAATTTTTTTAATTATTAGTCGTATAAAAGAACACCAGTGTTGTCTTTTGGGTTCAGTGAATTGTGAATTCCTTGCATGTCCTTGGAAAACAGAATCTGCCGAGAAATCAAGCAAATAAGCATGCGCGGCTGTGGAATGTTTTTTGGGGTGGGACGAGGAAGGTGATGTCGGTCAAAGACGGCAGCCCACCTCATTTATTTTCGTTTGGCGGCCACAGAAAAAGACAGATTTTGCCACCCCAAGCAACATATGGTTTTCTGCAAATTTCAATTCTTAATCCACCTGATTACTGTTAATTTGGATTTAACCACGTTGATAATTGTCTGTGGTGCTTAATTTGCAGTGGTTAATTGAGTGTTTATTTCTTATCAACTTTAGCATAGTGGGCAGCTCGAGTTGTGATCTCTATGAGATGTATATTCAGGTTCAAGATGTCAACGGTAAGTGTTTTAACCTTATTATAATTAAGATAAGATATCACTAGGCTGCAAACGAGTCGAGCCGAATTAAGTTTTGAGCTAATCGAACAGAGTCTCGACTAAATTTTACCAAACTCGAGCTCGAGCTCAAGCTCGACGAGCTGGCAATTTTCGAGCTCGAGCTCGAAAAAAATTAAAAAAAATTATTATTTTTTAAAAAATAAATAAAATAATATTTTTTTCTGAATAAATAATAAAATATTAAGGATATATACGTAATTTCACTATGAAAATAAAAAAAAAAAAATATATATAATATACGTAATTTTATTATTAAATAAAATAAAAATAAAAAAATATATATACTCAATCTCGCGAGCTGGCTCGCGAGCTAACGAGTTTAATATTTTGAACTCGAGTTCGAGCTCGATTAATATCGAACTCGACTCGAGCTTGACTCGAGCCGCTCGCGAGCAGCTCGATTCGTTTGCAGCTTTAGATATCACCGGAAGCGCCTTGGTGTTCTTGATCTGGCTAATTGGAGGGTCTGATGTTAAAAAGATGAAGAATTCAGCTCCCGATAGGATAGCCTCTCTTGCTGAGGTAGAAAAATAAAGGGATAGTTTTACAAACCTCCCCTAAGGTTTCTCACAATTACAAAGAACTCCCCTCAAGTTTTAAAAATTATATATACCTCCCCTACTTTTACTGTTTAGTAACAATATAGATCCAAAAACTTAGATTTTCTTTCAAAAAATCCTAAATTACCCCTTTG